TACAGACCTAGAATCAGAACTTTAGTAACAGGGCTGAAATAGAGGGATATGAGGCATGGCTACAATGGGTGATCTGTTTGGTATTTTGAGGAAAACACTTCAGAGACATGTTTTTAAAATATCTTTATATATCTGAGGCCTATAATATATGCCTAAAAATAGTATAATAGGAGACCTTTAAAGCGACCATGTGTAGGACATCAACACATCTGACTTGGTCATGATTTGAGGGTCGTATCAAGAAAGACTCACTTATTCATGAACTGTCCCTCTCTCTAATCACTCTGATTTCCTCCCTGTGTGTCCCTGTGAAGGAGAAGGAGAAGCTGTATGTGGAGCTGAAGCACATCCTCGCCCGGCAGCCCGGCCCGGAGGCAGCAGAGCAGCTGCAGCAGTGCAAGTGGATCCTCAGAGAGAGAACCAAGAAGCTAAAGGTCACCCCAAACCTCCTTTACTTGCAAGTCAAACATATTGCACTTCTCATTTAATTTTTTATTTCATGTGTTTTGTTGTTGTAATCCACTGCCTTTCTTATTTTTGAATATGATTTCATCAGAGTGTGGTTTTGCAAGTGAACAATCTCTTCCTTTGTTCCTCATAATTATATTTGGTCATTGAAACTTGAATATGTTGTCAAATTCATATGTTCAGTATCAAACAAAAATCATTCCAACAGTTTCTTTAACAAAGGCCTTCTTAAGAATGTAAGCCTCAATATGATCATGTTATTGTCCCACGTCAAACAATATTTCTTTATAAACTCACTCCACTGCTCCTAGTGCTAGACTCCTAGTACTAAGATGGGTTAAAAGTAGAGGCCAAATGTCACTGTATGTGCTGTGTGCTCTGAATGTGTGACCAATAAAGAGGGTTTCATCCCTCCCAATTCAATTCAATTAACCGTCCATGTTAATGTAAAAATGTGTATTTGTAAATAACATTCTTATACAGTATATTAGAAAATATACAGCGCCTTATTTCAGGTGAAACATGGTTCTTCTTTGATTTTCTATACAGTAACTGTGACAATAATATTCTGTGATTCCACAGGCGTTGATAGCAGAGCTGAGGATGGTCGACTCGAAGATGAATGAGTACAAAAGTGAGAATCAAAGATTAGCTAATGAGATGGCAAACATCAAGAAGAAGTACCTCAGTCAGAAAATGGTCCACAGGTGAGGTTTCTTTTTTTCTTTTACATTTTAGCAATCCAAGCCAGGCATACTATAGTTTCCTGATTTTTTTTAATTCACGATTTATTTTATGCAACGAACATGTATGGTTTGTGACTCTGATGTGCTAGAGCTGTGTGTATCCTCAGTGAGCAGAGGGGCCGCTCTAAGGTGGAGCAGCCGGAGCCCCTCCCCCAGCTCAGCACCAAGGCTCACTTCACAGGAGGAGGCTTCAGGATCGACGTACCTGTGAGAAGATAAGAACCTTAAAGAGCCATCTGACATATTTTACTTCATTTAAAGAAAGACATCTATACAGTGGTGCAGTGATACACGTTAGTTAGCATCACAACAGGTCTCTTAACAAAAGCCAATTGCATTTCACTGGATTTGGAGAAATACAGAAAATAAGATCTGTGGCTAACACACATTGTGATAAATGTTTTGAAAAAGACAAGTTCGATTTGACATGATTTGAGACAAGATAACTCAAAGGGCTAAAATTAGACCCTCCAGAAAAACGCGATTCTGCGATCGCAGAATTTACCGCATAATCAGCAAAATGGCGCAGATTTTTAAAAGGCCGCATATTTATCAAAAGGCTGCATAATCCCGCATTTTTCCACACAAAGTTGAGAAAAAAAAAAGTTAACTCGTCTTGACGTGACGTCATCAGCTCGCGCATCACAGAATGTAAACAATACTGTATAGAGTGAACGTGTGGAGCTCACACGATAGAGAAAACACCAAGATGAAAAAATCTAATCCATCTCATTTACCGACGAGCATTTCTACTAAAGACCGGGCAAAAAGTGGGGGGAAACTATTCTGCACCCTGTGCAACTGTGTGTTGGAGCATAAGTGTATATCGAAGGTAACGACCCACTTTGATTC